ATATATATAGACCATAGTTCATAAACAAATTTGACCCATATCCTACTAATAAAAGGGATTTTCACATAATCTGACTGATAATAGGCTATATTCATGTAGTTTAGCGATCATTTACGCCCCACCTTAGCTATGCTTTATTGCTACATGAAGGTTAAATGATAACAAATGGCTATAATTATGAATTTTATGCTTTGCAGGAGCAAGTCTTGATTATGAGGACATTGAACAGTGTTTGGAGCTAATTTGGAGCAAGGAAAGCCAATTGGAGGTGAATGCGCGTGAAAGAAGAAGGAAAAAAAAATAGAAAACAGCTGAACTTCATGAGCGCGGGCCAAGCGCGGCCATGCTCGTCAGGCAGAATAGAATGCGATATGCGCGGCCCAAGCGCGGTCGCGCTCGTCACTTCGAGAAACATTATTTTCAGGGGTAATTTCGTAAGTTCGAGGGCAACTCTCCTCAACATATAAGAAGCCCAGGTCGCCCAAAGAGAAGGTATCAAAGTTTTTGAAGGATTATTGAAGGCAAGAAGAGGCAAGAGGCAAGACGGAAGATTCAACATAGAGTTTTACCTTTCTTCCTCTTGTTTTGATCATTAATGATGAATTCTACTATTATGATTGTGAAAATGATTATGCGTAGCTAAACATTTAATCTAGGGTTTTGATGGAACCTCGTGGAGGATGAATTTCTAATATGTTAATATAAATTTGCCTTAATAATTTCTCTGTTTGTTCAACTATATTGTTATTGCTGTTGATTGACGGGCCCTCAATCTGTTGTGCCTATTTAGTATGCATTACTCGGGAGAGAGTATAGATTTAGGTAGTTGTTGAACAAAACTACTCCTACCGTATATGCCGGATTAATACGAAGGGTTTAAAGGTGGGATTAGGGATAACAAAACCTTGAGTGCGATCTAAGTGAGCTGTAACTAAGGCCAGCTAGCGTAATTCGGGAGAATATGTCTAGTATATTGTTGTAATTACTCGGGAGAGAGTTACGACAGTCAGAGTGCTCATGATCGATAGAGAAGACTTAGACAAATTTATAGCAAACATAATGGAAAGGATTCCGACAAGAGGGGAAATCATAACCTTAGACCATTTTCATTCTTGCTTACAACCAGTTTTTAGCTAGTCTTAGTTTACGGCATTGTTATTACATAATATTTAGTTAATAAACACCCCAAATTGTTACTTAAGTATCTTTGAAGATTGAATACGTGAATTTCTGTGAGTCCAATAGCTGTGATTAATAGGTTAATTCTCTGTGGGATTCGACTCCAGACTTGTTAACCGAAATATATTTACAGCGACCACTTTGTTCTTTTTATAAGGCATAGTTGGGCGTGATCAAATTTTGACACCGTTGTCAGGAAATTAACGGTGTTATTGATTGCAGTTAAAAAGAAGTGCAGAAATTTTTAGTGTAGTCAATTTTCTTCAATTTAAACTGATCATTGAAATTCTAATGTTTGTAGTTGTGGTTGTTATAGGTGCATGCCTAGAAACTCATCAAGAACCGGAGCATTATCAGATCTTGAGAAGATGTTCAAGGCATTGAACCGTGCAAACAGGAAAGGCAAACAACAACAAAACTCAACCGAAAGAATTGAACCACACATGAAAAATGATAATCTAAACAATAGGGACAACATGAATGACCCAAACAACAAGAACACCGCAAATGACCCAAATGATCAGGGTGTGACACCTCTTGTGCCAGAAGCAACACTATATGACTAGGCACAACCCACAGCTAACAACTTAGCAACTGCTATTGTAGTCCCTCAGATACAAGCAGACTCATTCCAGATCACAAATAACATGCTACATCTGTTGCAGAACAAGGGACTATTCTCTAGGTCATACGTTGAAGATCCTCAGCAGTATTTAAAGAACCTCCTCTCAATCTGTGCCACGCAGAGACAACACAATGTCACACCAGAAGCAATACGTTTGTTGTTGTTTCCATTCTCAGTGACAGGAGCATCCCAAACTTGGCTTAATTCACTGTCGATCAACTCCATCACTACTTGGGAGGAATTAGTCAAGCAATATTTGAGCAAATTTCATCCACTCAACCAGACTGCTCAACAAATTAATGAGATATTGAGCTTCAAACAGAGACCAACTGAGACACTACATGAAACGTGGGAGAGGTTCAAGGATCTCCTGGTTACGTGTCCACATCATGGTATTCCGGAGCAGATGTTGGGGCAGAGATTTTACATGGGTTTAGCAGATACTTTGAAAGCTAATGTTGATGCTTCAGCAGGTGGAGCATTTTGAGCAAGACATTTAGAGAGAGCAAGATCCTGCTTGACAAGATGATACAAAACTCTGCATGGACAACAAGGAACGCTCCAATCACTCATGTAGTTCACTCAGTGTCTCTAGACCCGGCTAACTCCATAGCTGAAAATATGGCCACTCTGATGACACAAATGAGCATCCTCACCAAAAAGGTTGAAGAATCAGGCCAGAAGCAGCAGGTACACATAGTTGATGTAACTAATGGGGGTCTCTCTACATCATGTATTATCAACCATATGTCTGCTCATAGAGTGCTGAAGGTGATAATCAACAATATCAGGAGAACATGAAATATGTGGCCAACTACGGAGGACCGAGACCAGGTGGTCAGAATTGGGGTCAGCAAAATCAACAATACAGACCAGCCCAACAACAATACAATATAAACAATAATCATAGGGCTATGCGACCACAGGGGCAAATGGTGCCTTACTGATCGAGGCCAACCCTGTACTACTATGAAGCAACAAGAGAGGTCGAAACAACTTTTACCCGAGAAGGTCGGGATCGATTTCCTCAGGGAGCTAGATATTGGAGTTGAGTTTCTATCTAAATGGGAGTGGTGTAATTGTTCCTAATTGCACTTCTTAACATTGTTGGTTTTAATTTTACTTCTAATTTTATACTACCACGATGCTAAATTAGGCTAAGTAAAGCTAAGATTAAACTATTGCAAGTTGTTCAACTAGATAAAAGGCACTAGGGTAGTGACTTTCTCCTAGGTGGTTAATTCACGGATTCTACTCACTCTATAACTCTCGGTAGTTCGAGTGATTTTGCCTGAATTGACTTTCTCAAGACCAATTGGGTATGCAAATTTGTACAAGCAATTGAGGTTCAAGTCGGGTATTATTATCTCTAGGTTTAACCCTTTAATTGGGGCTATCAATCTCTTGAATAAGCCCTAATTCCTTGTTCGACTAATTTCATGGACTTAATGCTCTCTTTCTCAAGAAGAGCCAAAGTCTACTAGGCATAAACTAGTATTTGCAACCACTAATTCACAATTAAAACCCTAAATTAGCCCAAATATCAAACACCCATAAACAATCAAGCATCAAAATAAAAGATCCATCAATTACCCACACTAGGGTTGAGCCACAACCCTATATTATGGGTCTAGCTACTCATAATTAGAGAAGAAAACAAGAAAATAGATGAAGAGAAACTCATAATAATTAATTGCTAAATTAAGCTTGAAGATTCAATGTTGAAATCATGCTAAAATTACTCAAAATAGGTCAAAAAGACAAAGTCACGAGCGTAGCTCTGTCCCAAAATCTATATGTTTACCTAAAAATGGGAAAGGAAACTATTTATACTAGGCTGAAAATTCTGGACAAAAATACCTTGGCGGGTCTAGTGCGGACCACACAAAATTGAGTGTGGCCGCACTAAGGCTCTTGGCTTGACTTTTTTGCTCTCTGAAGTTGGCCACCTGATCGAGGCCAACCCTGCACTACTATTGAGTAGCGAGAGAGGTCGAAGCAACTTTTACCCGATTAAGGTCGGGATCGATTTCCACAGGGAGCTAGATATTGGAGTGGGGTGTCTATCTAAAGTGGAGTTGTGTATTTGCTCTTAATTTCACTTCTACACATTTTTTGGCTTTGATTATGATTTTAATTTTATAAAACTACAACGCTTAATTAAACTAAAATAAGCTAAGGTTAAACTATTGCGAGTTGTTCAAATGAATAAAAGACACTAGGGTAGCGACTTTCGCCTAGGTGGTCAATTGACGGATTCTTGAGTCTAAAGCTAGATTGTCACATTTGGGGAGTATGATATAACCGTTGCACGATTCTACTCACTCTATACCTCTCAGTAGTTCGAGTGATTTTGACCAAATTGACTTTCTCAAAACC